AATATAAGCCAGGTGCCAGTGCTTAACTTTCAGGAGTATTGTGGGCACAACTGTTGCAAGGAGTTATGGGATTGGAGTGGCATCCAGAGAGTCCCAACTGGGAGTTGATTAACAGAACGTGGTATTCCTGGATATGAGATAGATGGGCTGTCAACAAGGGTATTGCTTAATTTATATAGTCAAAAGAAATCAATGATGGATTATCAGAGACAGAGGGCAGTATCTCAGTAAAAAAAAATCACAATTCCTTGCTCAGTTTCCAGATCAGATTGGAACCCATTGACTGAAGGAGGGGCTGATTCTTTAGAAGTCAGGACCCTTTAATACCAGGGCAGATATATTTATTTGTTATTCCTCTGGTACTTAACCAGGGGAGTTAAGACTAGTTACTCAGGTAAATGTGCTATGCAGACAAAAGAGGAATACTCAGAACTTTTGAAGGTTATTGAACACTGGTTTTGAATTCACAAATATCCGGAGACCCAGTAAACCAACACCACTGCATATTAAAATGAGGGGTATATAAAGGCTATCAGAGTCCTAGCCCATCTGATTCTCAGAGGGCCTCTACTCTATTGACCAATCTGGTGGTCCTTCTCCTAATCTCCAAATGCATAATTGAAAGGGACACCCTTGGTAGTTTGAAGAACCCTCACAATGATTCCTTGATTTCTTGAATAAGAACTATTGTAGTGGGGAGGGGCAAGTAGAAGTTTCTGAAACTTCCTACCCCAGAAAAAAGAGTAAATGAAAAACAATGCTGAATTCCAAAGGGGATGAAGTAAACTAATGAAAGAGTTTGAATATTATGATAACTCCTACCATACCCCAGGCAAGCTCTTGCAAAAATCAAATAGAACAAGGCAGGTGATAAGACAGTAGCCCCAGTTGCAGCTACTGTGCTCAATGTATTTTTTGTTTGTTTGTTTTTGGTTTTGTTTTGCTAGAACAGGTTAAAATAGCCTCCAGCACTTGATCTAGCAAATGTGTTTCTAGCCACACTTATCAGGAACAAGAAGTGGATGCCATTGGCATTCCCTTGGGATAAACGATGGTTTATGGTCTTGCCCTCAAGTCTATGCAAGTTTCTTACACCCTTTATCAAGATGTAATCTGAAATAACCTGGATTTTATGGACATTCTGTAAAATGTCATATTGATTCACCGTATGATTGGCATCATGTAATAGGACCAGATGAGAGATATGGGGCCAGTATATTGGAGGTCTTGGTTTATACATAATATATACACCAAAACTCTAAGGTTTATACACTATAAACCTTAGAGAATAGGCAGTAAATCTTACAAAGATTCATAAGATTTCTGACTCCAGACAAGATGGAGTAGACACATTCTGCCTATGCCTCCCACTAAAGACTCTGGAATATATATATATCTCAAACATAATAAGGCTCTAAAAGTTGGGGGAAAAGAGGTAGATCAGGTAGGAACCTTGGGATCCAAGGAATGACATTAAAGCGATTTCCCTGGCTTCCCCTACCCCCAACTCCCCTTATGTATCCCAGACTGAGTGGTAGAGAAATCAGCAACTCAGAAATGCCAAAGGATACAATCATCACCCCCACCACAAAAACTACTTGGTTTCCCATTTTTCCCTCTTGGTAAATGGCCTGCTGTGTTTGAGAAGTAGTGGCAGTGGAATTGGGTGAAGAGGGTAGCAAGGGTGGGTGGAGGTTAAGAAGGATTCAAATGATAACCTGATGATCAACAAATTTTAACTGTATTTTATGATTTGGTCATATTGGTTATCTTGTATGTAGAGCTAATCATCAGTGGTGATAAGTCAATCATCACATGAGCTTTCTAGGAATACATACATTCTAAGTTGTTCACTCAATAGCACAAATTCATTTTCATTGACTTTATAACTTAAAAATCTATTGGCCGACTTCAGAAACAAGTGAACTGAAATACCTTAGCCTCATTAAAGTGGAATATTCTGTCCCATTTAATAAACTAAGATAAATTATTATTAAGTTAAATTTAATTCCTTTGAAGTCCATACAGTAAATCAATCATATGCAATTTTATTATAGTGTTTATTGTTTTATTGGTAATTGAATTACTTGAATGGGATATAAGTCAATTAGTTGAAAAATAGAGACACTGTGAAACTAAAAAGTATTTAAATTAAGAAATGTTGAAACATGTGAAAAGTGAATGTGAAAATGGACAAAACTCAGGACAAGTTCTGGCTTGTTGAAGAGATAACTGTGGTGCCCTGGGCATTACAAGTAAGATGAACTTCTATTTGCAGCAGTTTCTCAACACTTCCTCATTCAGTATTTCTTATTCAAAGAGCACAATGAGAAGAGCTTAAGAATTCTGTCTTCAGCTGCTGAGCAATCTGTAAGAGGCTTGGAAACTCCCCAAGACCAGGATTGAGAGCCATCCCCATCACCTCTGCTCCTTGAATGCCTGATTCTGATTCTCTTTGAAGATGCCAGGTCCCAAAGGAGGTTGCAGGATGTAGGCTAAGGGTTGAACTCACCATGATGGGACAAAAGCACTCTGAACACACAGTGCTTTCTTCATTGCCCACTGAAACAAATTCTGAATTCCATTTTTATGGCACATCACACCAGGATCACATATAATCCTAGAGTATCTTTATTTGTTCTATAATTTAATAGTACACCTATAAAATAATTACATTATACTTATAGCTTTTCTTCATTTATAAACAAAAAAACAATTAAATACAATTTGAGCCATTATAAGGTAAACTTTGTACATATAAGAACCCCCAGAAGGAGCTTCACACTGCAGCATATCATATTGCTTCTATTGCTACACCCAAAATTGGGTTCAAAGAGAGTGTGCTCATGTTTGTATTCTGTGAGTTCATAGCTTAATCCTTCCTCTCTCTGTGTGGGTTATGTGTTAATAAAATGACAGGGTTGGCTTTGCAGTCAGCCAGAGACTCCCATCCACTCCCACCCTACTCTACTCCATTGGCCTCTGTTAGGGTCATGTGGACCTCCTTCCTTTACAGCTTTTCTGCTGTGTGTTCTGCACTGAATCTGACTTGAGGTTTTCTATTCAATGCAAAATTAATTTCTGAACTTGGACACACTCTCCACTCTTTCTTTCCATCCCAAGGTTCCAGCCTTCAAGGATTTCTGTTGAGTTCTGCCTCCTGATTTAGGGCTGTATATACCCATTTCTAAAACCACCAATACCCCTTTTTACAACAGCACATTCTGCTCAGGGCTCATGGAGTTACAGAAGAGACAGAAATGAAACCTGCAGTGTAGAGGCAGGAAATGGAGTCAGGGACACACCACACCTTGATCTCCAGGTGAATGCACCTAGACCTGCCCCCATCACTGTCTAACGTCAGGAAGCCTCAGTCCCTCAAGCAGTTTGTAGAGGGTCCCACAAACATGGAAATGGGCCTTTCTGAGTGCCCTTGGCAGCAGTACTTGAGACTCGGTGCTCAGAAATTACCAATGAAAGGTTTTCAAAGCATGCTGATTCCCACCAACATCTCATTCACATTTATCAGATTCCATAAACATTACTCACAGGGAAGCCTCTGTGGGGCAATTTAGCAAAGGGACTGAAACTAAGTATAATTTTGCAAGAAAATAAATTATGTCAGCTTTGTTATGCCAAGAGACTACAACATAAAAACCTTATTGATTCCTTATAAAAATAAAAGGTAAGCTGATGTTTGATCATCCTTTAAAAAAAAAGTCCATTCTTTGAAAAGGAAGCTTCTGTAGGATAGCTTAACTAGATTTCTATTCTATATATTTTATCTTTTACTTTTTCCTACACCACAAAGTGACCTGACTCCTTATATATTTAAATATTTCTCTTTTACCAGGAAATATTCTTTTTCGTTTAGTGTCATGGTAGTAAAATAGTAGACCTTCTCACACCACATATGCATATTAAACATCACAGGGCTTTTGAGTTCCCTGTTGATGACTTCCCAGTGAGTCCCCTCCCTACACCCATCCATCCCAACCCACTTCCTACCTTGTGCTGCAATGCTTCAGTACCTTCAGTGAAATATTATTCATTGTAAAATCACAATGTAAAATCACCTGCCTTCTCCCTGCCCAATCTAAGAATAGGTGCATGACAGTGAACTGCTGACCAAGCATTATTACTGAGTGAACCCCCCTGTGAGCCTTACTCAGAATGGTGCTGCAAAGCCAGAGTCCAAACTCGTGAAACAATACATGGATAGGTCTATAGTGCTTTTGAACAGCTCTTTACAATACAGGTCAATTACAAAACCAGCGTTAATATGAAGACCTTGTGTGTAATAATATTCTAATTGCAGCGATAATAGCATGCACACCAGAGTTCATCTGAGTCCACGGATGTGGCGGGGGGGGGGGGGGGGGGGGAGGGAGGGAGGTGGGGGACGTGAGCAAGAAGAGGTGGTGGTGGCTGGGAGTGGGGAGAGTATGGCCTGCTGTGAGCAAGGTCCCCAGGGAAGCCCATTTCATGATCCCAGTGGCTCAAGTCGTCTTCTCGGCTATCGGGTTTGTTAGGAGAACCTCCCTGTGTACGGACGTCGTCCAGATCCGCATCACAGCAGCGCGAGGGCAGCCTTCCCTTCACCGGGGAACCTCGCAGCCGGAGGGCCCCAGGCCCAGCGGGAGAGGGGTGAGGGCCGCATCCTTCACTTCCTGGGAAAAGGGGAGCTGGAGTGTAGGGTGAGGCCCGGGAAAGACTCGCTTTTCCACATGGTGGAAACATCAATGCCACATTGGCAGCGCAGCCCCAGAAAGGCCCCTCTCCGACCCGTGGCTGGTGGGCAGTGGGTTTTCAGCCGCGGCCCGCAGGCCTGAAACGCAGCCTGTTGGGGACGCCCAGGAGGGGCCCGCGGTCGGCCGGGAACACATCAGCGAAGCTCCCTTTGCGGCGTGCGCGTGTGACAAGGGCGCCGCCGGCCCCGGGAAACGTGCTTGCGGCGGAGGGGGCCACCGGGCAGCGCGTGCGTGGGCTCAGAGGACGGGGGCGGCGGCGGCGGCGGCGGCGCGCAGAGCGGGCTGCGTCCCGCCGCGGGGGCTTCACTGCTTGTCCGAGTCGCTCAGGTTCACCGACATGCACCGACACTGCTTCACCTTCTGGATCTTCTTGAGTCGGAAGGGAGGGTCCATCCCAGGGCATTCGAGCTCCACGAGGACGGAGGTGACGCGCTGGGGCTTGCAGAAGGCGCACGACTGGAAGGACTCCTCCTCCTTGCGGACGTGGCGCGGGATGTAGAAGGAGTTGCACTGGCCGTAGCAGAAGCGGTTGAGGATGGTGCGGCTGCGGCAGCCTTCCTCGCTCACCGTCTGTCGCAGCGGCTGCGTCTTGCACCAGTCACTCTTGAGGTACTTGCGTTCGGTGACCACCAGGGCCTCCTGGCTGGAGGCCAACACCTCCTTGATCTGGTGCTGCCATCGCTCCGAGTGGTTGCTGCTGCCGTCCTTGTAGGGCGAGGGGATGGCGCCCGCAGGCCGGTTCTTGCGGGCCTCCGCCACCTTCACCAGCACGGCCACCAGGCACAAGGACAGGGAGAGCTTCCAGAACATCCTGCAACGAGAGAAGAGCGAGAGCGTTTGGCTGGGGCGGGTGCTGGGTTTGCTGGTTTCATTAGGAGGAGCTGCAGTCCGGTGGGGCAGCTGGGAAGTGAGAGGGCTTAGAGGCCACCTGCGGACAGCAAGGATGCTCTCCGAAGTGCTTCCCGAGGGCAAGGCGAGGGACGCAAGGGTAAGTAGAAAAGAAGACAGAACGCGTACACATGTTGAACAGCTACGGAAGAATTACAAAGCAAAGGTCGCCAAAACTAGCCCACGCCGGTTTGCCGCAGTGCCAGTGAGAGTTAACAAAGTTTACTGCATTTTCATGCAGTACCTGAGCAGTGCTGTCCTATGCACAGGACGTGTATACCCCATTTGATCCCCAAAAGAGTTTTAAGTTGGACGTTATTATACCTACATTACAGTGAAGGAAACTGAGGCCCACAGACGTTAGTAATTTGCCCAAGGTTGCACAATAACTGAGAAATGTCCAGGAGCCAGCCATCTCCCTCCGGAGCCACCAAAAATAACTACGAGAGGTGGATCTGATCAGGAATATTAGCAACAAGTAAAGGAAAGGTGGGCGTGGTTCACAAGTTTCTTCAAAATGAGTACTAGACTTAGGAATGGACACAGATCAGGGAAAGTAATATTTACACCTCTGGTAATTGTTAGGAATCCAAAATTACATTTAACATCTGCGCAAAGATATTCAAGTTAATTCAAGTGAGTCATGAATTAGATTCTTGTAGTGGAAACCGCGGTCCAGTCGTGGAAGGAATTGCCAAGGAATTGCCAAGGTTGTATTAAAACTGCCTTAGACAATGCAGTGGTAACCCACATGAATAGAATAGTTCTTCTGTGTTATCGGGCCTCGTGACCCAAGTGTGCAGGGAGCTAGAGCTAGAGAGAAACTTACTTTGAATCATGTCCTGTACGAAGCAAACCAAGTCTGACTGAAAGATGGACTTCTTTGAAGTTTAATTCATAGTTTCCATTGTTATATTTCCACTAATACCCTCGAGGGACAGCAATACCCCTCGGTAGAGATGATCCTTATCTCCTGATGACTGTAGCTCCTTCATTATCCTTGGCATCTTCACCATCATAGTCATGTTTATTCATTGCCTCCCTGGGTATTTTACCACCTCTAGAACTGCATGAGACTCTCATTCCTTTAACATGTACACACCAAAATGGCAGGTAGAAATTATATATATAAAACCTTATATGGTTCTTTAATGCATACTACAAATTTAATATTAAATATATTAACTCCCTGAACTATTATCAATGTCTTACATATATTTCTGCTAATAATAATAGTTTACATTTATTGGTGTTCAAAACCCATCCCTCTTATGGTTTCCTGTCATGTGTAAACATATCAAAATTCTATGAAATAGGTAATATTATTTCTCGCATCTTATGGATTAGGAAACTGAGGCACGGGGAGCCTTCACTTACCAAGATCATACGGCTAGTGTGTGAAATATTTGAATCCTGGCTCCATGCATCCTGGCTCCAGGTGAGTATAGCTATTTTGTTGCTAAAACTATTTGTGTTAACGGGCGCCTGGGTGGCTCGGTTAAGCACCTGCCTTCCGCTCAGGTCATGATCCCAGGGTCCTGGGATGGAGCCCTACGTCGGGCTCCTTGCTCTGCAGGGAGTCTGCTTCTCCCTCTCCCTCTGCGCCTGCTCGTGATCTCACTCACTCCCTCACTGTCTCTCAAACAAGTAAATAATTTTAAAAAAATCTGTGTTAAAATATCTAGGCTAAAATATTTCTATATGTCATTATTAGTCTGAGTGTAAACCACAAGAGGCTTTTGGAAACCACATAGCAGAGAATTCCTTCATTTATCAAGTTTTGTTGAGTATTTATTCTGGAACAAACTGTAATAAGCCTTGTGAATTCCAGTACCTCCCTCAGAGACAAGGAGAAAGTTCTTCCAGTGTCAGATGAGCCCTGACAAGATCTGCCCTCCCTGTTCTCATCTCGTGGACCTCCTCATCTACATTCTCCTACTTGCTCTGCTCAAGCAACACTGACCACCTTTCTGTTTCCAGAATTTATGTGGCATTTTTCTGCTCTGGGGCCTTACGTTTGCCTTTCTCCCAGATATCGGCATGGCCTTCTACCACATTCTTCAGATCTCTGCTCAATTATCACCACCTTAGTGAAGCCTTCATGGGTAACTTCATCACAACCCTGCCATTCACTGTCTCCTTCATCCTTGCTTTGTTTTTGTCCATGGCCCTTAGCATCTTAGAAGATAGTACTGAAGGATCTTATTAAATTTTTCATTGTCTGACTTCCCCAACTGGAATGTGAGGTCCAAGAAAGAAGGACCACTTGTTTATCCTGCACTCAGAACAGTGCCTGGTACATAGTAGGTACTCAATAAATATGTGTTGAAGGAAATACGAATACCATGCATTTTGGCATGCAGATGACCAGATGACGGTGCTATAGTTGTGGAGGCACAATGAATGGCATAGGTTTGCACAGCCAAGAACATCTGAATCACTGGGATGCTCTTAAATGTAGATTCCTCAGCTCCACCCCTGAATCTGTATCTGAATCAGTAGAGTTGAGGTGGAGTTTGAGATCTGTATTTTAAAGAACTGCTTCCAGTGATTTCCATGGGCCAGTGCCCCAGGGGGCAGGGGGGACACAAAGAAAAAGCATCAGTTCGTCCTGGACAGGGAACAGGGGAGGCCCAGGAAGTAACAGCTAATGAGTGTCTTAAACTCCAACTAGGATTCTTGCAGGCAGGGACACTGCCAAGAGTGCAGAGTTAGGTAAATGTAATGATAAGAGACAAGGGAAGTAAAAACGTTGAGAACAGAGAGGGGAAAAAGGGAAGGATTTTCTTTTTTTATAAAAGCATTTTTGTGCAATACAATTACTGAAATTTTGAGGCCGAATTTTTGAAGCACTTTCCTCATGCCTCCTTAGTTCCACACATGAATTGTCACATGAAAATGGCCACGCTTCCAGCAGATTCATGGCAAGCACTGAGTATTGGACTCATTCAACTTACACAGCTTATTATATTTGCAGAATGATTTGTGATCTTAATAGTCTCTTAAAAAGAAAGTATGTTGGTTCCATTTTAATAATTTCCCAAACTATTAACATTCTGAATAAACACAACCAAAAGTTTGTAAGTCCCAGCCATGGAAAGATTTACAGAGTCAGCCTGGTCCTCAACCCCTAGTTCCAGGAACAGCTTTGCATCTTTGATAGGCTCAAAGTTGCATGCTTTCACTCAACAGGTCCTAGCTGCTGTCAGGGAGAACAGAACTAAAACATATTCTGATCAACTTGGGGTAAAAACTCTTAGATTCGCAGTATTAGATGTGATGATTAACAACATGCATTCTTTGAACTCTTTGAAATATTTTTCACAACATCTGGCAATCACCCTTCGAAGTTACGCTTCACAAGAACCTGAGAAGGAAAGCAAACCTCTCATTTTACAAGACCAGGAAAAAAAAAAGCTGATGATACAGCTAGGGAACTGGGGCCAACCCAGGCTCTTCTCTTTCCTTCCTTCCATCTCGTTTCTTTATTCCCTCACGTGTAGCAACAGGAACATTGCCAAGGATCTGGAATCTCGATGTCAGGACAGGTAAGTAGGCAAGAGGTATTTTGCTTCAGTGACTGTTAGGCTTTTCACTTCAATCAAGGACACTAAAGTGACTGAGTCAGTTTTTGCTCAGGGCACATTCTCCACTAGCCCTTTAGTATGTGGGGGTCCTCAGGGGAGAGAACATGTATGCCTCTTTCTTCAGTTCACTAACTATCACAAACACACACATACACACACACACACACACTTGCACACACATGTCAGTGGCCCCAGCAGGACCTGAAGTTAGCACTCAGAGTCCTGCTTGGCCTTGAATCACTTTGCTACTCAGAGAAATGGTTCGCATACAATTAACCTCTCAGGAATGTTGCCATAATCGCTGGTACCACCGCACAAACATCCTTCATTTTACCCTCACATCTTGTGTTTGGCTTGTCTCAAGAAGAAACTCGTAAATAAATCCTTTCGGTTTTAGTAACCATCCTTGTGGCCTGACAATGTCAGTTTGCAAGGGGTGCGAGGACCGCCAATGCTGATATGCTAAGCAGTCTGGGTCCGTCAACGTGGGTTGTGTACAGAGAGAGACGGCAAAAGCACTTTCTTCCTAAGTAATGCCCTGGGGCCTGGCCTTTCTTGGTATCAGAACAAGGGCTGCACAGGCCAGGATAGTATCTAGGCAGCTAAGAAATAACTGGCCCCTTCTATCAGCCTTTTCTAGAAGTCTCAAGGGTTTCTGCAATAGGAGCTTGAGCAGTAATGCTTCCTGATTTCTAGGAAAGCCTGCTGCAGTGCTGAATCCTCCCTGCCAAAAGGTGTAAGTGACCAAAGGCCAAGGGTTCAGCTAAGCTGATTAACTCACTCCCAGAGTGACCTTGTTGAGTTTTAGAGGTCAGGTCAAAGCAGTACAGGGTTGTGCATGAGTGGTGAATGGAATGAGGCTCAAACATTTTCTGTGACCGAAGTAAGAATTCTAGACCTCCTTGGCAGGTTGAAGGGAAGGACCCAGGGCTGAATATGGGCAGGCACATCTGGGATAAACTTGCTCCCACGGCCCAGGTGAAAACAGAATCCAAATCAAACAGCAAACTCCAAACAAAACCCCCAACGGTGTTAGAATTCAACGATTATTTTTATGAATTTTACTACTAGAACCTCAGCAGCCAAAGGTACTTCATCCGTGACATAGATTCTTAGCTCGGGAGGCTGTGGCTGAGCCCTCCAACTGAGGTGGGTATTCCTTGGCTCTGGGATCATCTTCTTAGCCTAAAATCACTTGTCTGCTGAAGCTACTTACTTTCAGCAACTGTAATCTGCAGCACGCCATAGCCCATGGGCAGATCCCAACCTGCACTCTGTGTTTCTATAAGTAAGGTTATATTGAACACAGCCCATGCCTGTTCAGCTACATTTTTTT